AGACGGCTTGTGATTGTGAGCGGTGGAATGATGATAGTGCCTGGACCTTCAGTAGGAAAGGTGGTTGAATGTTTTGAAACATTTTGGTCATGCTCGTGTTCAGAAGGTACCCTGTGACTCAGCTTTGCAACAGGAGGACAATTCCCAGAAGCCCACACCAGCAGATGCAAAGAACTTTCGAAGCGTGATTGGACTTCTTCTTTACCTTTCACGTGACAGGGTCGATATCATGTTTGGTGTCAAGGAGCTTGCGTCAGCTATGTCCTCACCATCCCTATGCTCAGTTCAAAGACTTCGAAAGCTGATCGGGTTCATCAAGTACACTTGTGACATTGGTGTCAAGCTGCCATTTCCAGAACATGGAGTTGGAAAGTTCAAGCAGGGCACAGAAGTGTTTTGGCTTCTTGAGACATACACAGATGCAGACTGGAGGCTCAAACAAGGCACACAGGAGAAGCACTAGCTAGCTGCTCAATCCATTTTGTAAATGGATGCTTCGCCTACGGGTCAAGTCGTTCACAGAAGGTAGTCTCATTGTCATCGGCCGAAAGCGAACTGCATAGCATGATTGGCGGTTGCTGCGATGGAATTTTCATCAGAAACTGTCTACAATTCCTTTTCTCAGTGGATGTTGAGCACCACCTATTTACAGACAATTCAGCGGCCCGACAATTGATCTCCAGACAGGGAGTTGGAAGGATCAGACACCTTTCAGGAAAACCTCTGTGGATGCAGTCAAAGGTCATGGATTGAGATGTCATCATTCACCAGGTACCAACTCCTTGGAACTATAGTGATGTTGGGACGAAAAGCCGATCGCTCCAGACTACTGTTTCTGCTGTGTGGGATTGTGGTTGAAGCTGATACAGTTGAACCGCTTGGACTGGAAGAATACAACAACGTGGCAGGGCAAGATACAAACAGAAGAGAGATCAGCAAGCTGGCAGCTGGCAAAGACTTTGAAAACAATCACATTACTCATGACAGTGCAGGGCCTTGGGCCGGTGGTTGCAGAAGGTGCTGAGACGAGCGATTTGCAATGTCCCAGCACAAGCATCGAGGCGGTCGAGCGCTATAGCATTTTGGAATGTGGATTGTGATTTTCACTTTGCTGGTCCTTTGGTTTCTTTTTGCATACATGGCATGGTTTGCATGGGGAGAAAAATGCAATACAGCTTGAATACGTACGGAGAGAAATTGGAAAAGGCAGAATGGGATTTGTACCACTGCTGGAACCAAGTTGGAGATGAGGATAATTGTATTGCCCAGCAAGCTGCAAGGATCGATGGACTCCACAACCAGTTCATGATGATGGATGGATGCCTTACAGAAGCAAGCAATGAGGCGTCGATGAGTCACGACTATATGGTTGACTACATTACTCAGTTGTGGAACTGGGTGGATTCTTGCGTTTTCCGTTTGGAGTTGAGCCAAGGCAATTGGTATTCATGTGAAACAGTGCAATGGGTGCAGGGCAGTATCTTAACCTTGTGAAGCAACGTACGTACGTGGAAGCTGGAGAGACAACGGATGTTCAAATGACTGCAAACCAGAATGCAGAGGAAACAGCCGAGAGTGAAGAGGGCACGGTAGACGAAATCACAGCAGCAAGGCCTTTACAAAACCCTGACATGACAAGCATGTTAGAGGAGTTGAAAATAGACTTCAGGTTAGCCCTACACAGGCAGGAGCCACAGGATGCAACGAGACTTCAACACATGATGTTACAAATGTTGGAGGATATCAGGAGTGGAGTGACAGAAGAAGGTATGGTGCAAAGCTACAACACGAGAATTGGAGATCTGTTCGTCAGTTGTCAGAAGTGGCAACGCGCCAGGGCAGGATTCAAAGTGGCATGTACTACGGCCGACGCTGCGCACACTTCAGAGGCGATGCATGAGAAAGCTCAATGGATTTTGTGAACGTCCAGCAAAATCTTTGTGGAGGTGCGCGAGAAATTTTCAAACATGTGAGGCGGCATTGAGAGCGGTATGCTTCACAATACCGAGGAGGAGTGCGAATCATTTTTGACAGCACTTTGCACAAGGATGACATGCACAAACCATGATGAGAAGTGTAACAAGTTTCATCCAGTGACATGGAAAACCCATGTACGTATCTTGAGGGAGGCCCATTGTGGTTCGAGAAAAGTGCGTTCCCGCTCACAATTTTGGATTTACGGGAACATGGGAATGTGATTATAACCAACTTTACAGGGGTGTGGTTATTCAGAAGGAAATTGATGAGATGCATCGAGCTCGAGGGCATGTGCCATTTGATCCCAACTGAGATTTGCCAGAAAACACGCTCTGTTTCCCAGCATAGACGTAAGAATGATGATGGAGGGACTGTGAGTCAACTGTCATATGATTTTTCTTTTTTGAAGGGACACAAGAGTTGAAGATGTGAAAACAAAGCTTTCGTGCGAGACTTCCTTCAAATTTTGAAAGTTCAAATTCTGGAAATGAAGTTTGAAGTGGCAGTTCCACGGCGCGGTCGATCCGAGAATGATCTCGGTTCAAACGAACGTGTTCTGCACCCGCCCGCCGGAAATCTTCCCCATCCATCTTCCGGGACACGTTTTGCCTTGCAAGACACACCATTTCGTGCGTCCGTTTACTCAAAAACGCATTTCATGCGAGACTTCTCTCAAACAGTGAAGGTGGAAGCAACTTTCCTGCGAGACTTCTCTCAAACAGTGACAGTGGAACATGTTAAAACGAAGCTTTCGTGCAAAGTGCAAAAGAGATTTTTTTGCTGTGAGATCTCTCTGCTGTGAGATCTCTCTGCTGTGAGATCTCTTTGCTGTGAGATCTCTCTGTGTGAGATTTTTTTTGCTGTGAGGTCCCTTTGCTGTGAGATCTGTGTGCTGTGGGATCTCTGTACTGTGAGATCTGTTTGCTGTGAAGTCTCTCTGTGTGAGATTTCGTTGCTGTGAGATCTCTGGGTTGTGAGATCTCTGTGCTGTGGGATCTCTGTGCTGTGAGATCTCTTTGCTGTGAGATCTCTCTGCTGTGAAATCCCTCTGCTGGATGATCTCTGTGCTGTGGGATCTCTGTGCTGTGGGATCTCTTTGCTGTGAGATTTCTTTGCTGTCAGATCTTTTTGCTGTGAGGTCTCTCTGCTGTGAGATCTCTGAGCTGTGAGATCTCTTTGCTGTGAGATCTCTTTCCTGTAAAATTTCTTGGCTGTGGAACTGTAAGATTTCTCTGCTGGGAGATCTCTGCTGGGAGATATCTCTTTGCTGTGAGGTCTGTCTGCTGTGAGATCTGTGTGCTGTAAGGTCTCTGTGCTGTGAGATTTCTTTGCTGCGAGATCTCTTTGCTGTGAAATTTCTTTGCAGTGAGACTTCCGTGCCGGGAGCTCTCTTTGCTGTGAAATCTCTTTGCTGTGAGATCTCCTTGCTGTGAGACCTCTTCGCTGTGAGATTTCTCTGCTGTGAGATCTCTGGGTTGTGAGATCTCTCTGCTGTGGGATCTCTGTGCTGTGAGATCTCTTTGCTGTGAGATCTCTCTGCTGTGAAATCTCTTTTGCTGTGAGACTTCTCTGCTGGGAGATCTCTTTGTTGTGAGATTTAATGGTTCCAAATGTCTGTAGCACGGAAGTTTGACTTTCAAAATTCCTTTGGTCATTAATTATACATCCATTGTTGTTGTTGTTGTTGTTGTTGTTGTTGTTGTTGTTGTTGTTGTTGTTGTTGTTGTTGTTGTTGTTGTTGTTGTTGTTGTTGTTGTTGTTGTTATAACACAACTCTTCTCGTGGTAAATGACCTTTTGTTGGGTTTGTGTGTAAGTATATAATGTAATGTTGTAAACATTTGAACACATCAAAATGGTCACGTTTGGGGCTGTACAGCATGAACTTGGAAGATGATTGCAACCAAATGCTGGACGTTTCAGCTGCAACACAGGCAACATTGCAAGACAAAATATATGGGAACAATTGCATTTTTTGTTATTCAACATAAACTTTGTTAGCAACTTTCAGCAATTGAACAACGAATTTTAACCATGAAAACACATGATATCATGATGGCTGGCAATATCCGATTTTTTGTTCCTCCGGTTCATGTGCCACGTTTCATTGCACCAACGACCTCTAAACATCAAATGTTGATTTGCACATTTTTGTGCCGACATGCGACATGTCGAATGCTGCAACGCAGATTATGTTATTGTTTCACCATTGAAAAACGACAATACTGGAATGATTTGGCATGGTAGCGCGAACATGGTTTTTTTGGATTCCTTGGTTCATTGCAGGTTCGGTATGCACTGTTTGGTTTGTCAATCAAGATGATGTAGTGCCCCTTGCGAGGTGATTGTTTGCGACCTCCATTTTTCGACTATGATTGCACGACCGTTCGGCAGAGGCCAGCAAGGGCTGAAAATTCATTTGTTTTTCCAATAACACCATGATTGTGGATTCACAACAACTTTGGGCGTGAGGTTGACGCCTGTGGATTGGAACAAAATTCACGATGAGGTGCGCAAATTCAACGTGGACACTTGTGATAAGGAACCGTTGATGACATTCATTTTGTCACCATTTATTGCAATCAAAACAAAAAAAATGGGATAAACAATTGGTTGAATCACTTGCTCTGCTTGGAACAGGTGCAGGCAAGCATCCAACTTGCTCAAGCAGGCGTAGAGAAACAAAATTGAGGATAAATCCATGTGATAAATTTTTGTTTGCTGTGCATTAGTGTATTTGGGCGGCACGACCAACAGGGGTCGGGACCTTCAGTGGAGTGCACCCATTCACGGCTTCAGGCAGCCAACTTCCGCGTCCGCCCAAATTGCTGGGTTCCCATGGTTTTGGATTCGATGTTTGATATTTTGTCGCCCATTGAGGAAAATTGTCAGTGAAAACATTGTGATGTCATGCATGATGCTACTTGCCCCGATCCATCGCATCAACACGGATTTTGTTGTGGTCTGGGTCAGTTTTGGCTCAAATCCGCGGATTTTTTTTGGGTGCAGGGTGAAGATTGTGCAATGCCAATCGAGAAGTCGCCTGCTAGAAATGGAGACCTTCCAATTCTGCTGGAAGGTGAAGAGATCCGATTGTCAGAACCAAAAACCAGGTGCGGAGTTGAGGAGAAACAGGCAGATAGTAAATCTAAGGGAAAATTTTCATACCATTCATTCATGGTGAAGGCAGAAATGCAATTCTCCCTGTAGATCATTCGCATGATGTTTATCACAATTGGAAACTCAATCCGTCGATTCTCTCCATCAGAGTTTTCAACATCCACGGGTACGTGGAAGACACCGAATCCCTACTTTTAAGAGTTCTCAGATGACCCAGGTGCCTTGAAAACAAATATGTGAAATTCATTTTCGGTGGAACTGAAACCATGACAGGCTGTACACAAGGCAACATCTCGAAGGTGAAGGTGTCCTGCACTTGACGACGAAGCGTTTGGTTTGGCTTGGTGGTCCTGGCTGTGCCATTGACTATCCCTTCATCACCATGAGTCTTGTCCAAAAGGAAAAGAGTAACAGACTGGTTTGAGTCGGCTTGAGTCATCTTGAGGTTCAATGACGGTGTGCAGTTTTGTGTCCTGGTAACGTTGAGTGGAAGCAAGTGTGCTGTGACTAAGGCACGCAGTTTCCAGGGACAAGAATGCGTGGCCTGATCCATGCCTTTACTGCCAACTACGCGAAGAAGATGATGAAAATGAAGAGGCAGAGGTGGGCATCACGCTATTTTGGGAGGTTTCAGGTTGGGATTCTCATCAAACATTCCCGGATTAACTGACACATTCAGATAACGCAGCTTGTTTTTTGTTTGGATTGAATTTCTTGAGTGCCTTGTCTTCAGCTTGAGTTACAGGAGGAAATTTCAGTTCCTGAACTGAGATTTGTCCCGGCAGAGCCAGCACATTTGCAAGAGAGTCTTGGCTGCATCTGGCACAGAAACTGCTGGGCGACAAGTCATGTTGCCTTTCCTAACACGTTTGCTATGACCCCAACCTCCACTCTTGAGGATGTTCCAAGTTTTCTCCGAGATGTCAGCACTGAACCCTGATCCCTTCGATGAGCAAGCAGATGACAGTGAATCTGAAGGGGACTTTGAGGATGTTCTCGGAGGAGGTTATCAACCTCAAGTTGAGCTTGGCGTCATGTGGAATGCAGATATGAATGATGCTGCCATGGAAGATGCGGATGAGGATGAGGACGCGCATATGTAATATGGACCTTTTTTAAGGTGGAGATTGCAGTATTTCCAGTGAAAGAACTGAGAGACAAAGGGAAGACGTACAGAAGTTTGCTTCCCAAAGCGACAATTATGTTATTGCAGGAAGACCTGTAACGTTTCACAGCTCAGAGCTACAAGTCAAGGAACGATCTCATCTCAAGCCCCCAAAAACATCTCCGGCGCAACTGTGCTTTGTGCGAGTGATGGGCTGGTGGATGGCCAGTGGGATGAGAATAGTAGCTGGATGTAGCTGGATCATGTCAGGTCTGGACGGCTTCTGCTGCAACAGGCTGCAGAAGCTGCAGAGGTCAGCTGGAGCTGTTTGTTTTGGGTTTCAAACTCGATCAGTACTGATGAACGCGTAGTGAATGTTGGCAGTTCAGCTCTTTTGTTAACTTCAACTTGCGGGAGTGGTGCTCTTCTTATATAAGTTTCTGGCTCAACTTTGGCTCAAAGTTCGGTACGCTTTACAGAGGGGGCGGAACTTTAAAAAAAGTTGGTGATGCGCTCAGAGGCTCAGACTCTGGTGACTCTGGTGTATGGAGAAGTGATGAGAAGTGACTTGACTGGAAACATCTGGAAACCTTTTCCTCTGTTATTGTTGCTGAGCTGAGGTGCCATCCCTCAGAGATCGAGGATGATAAGAAGCTTGGCAGCTGAAGTTGGGAGGAACCCCCGAGCCCAGGATGGGGAAACTTTACAGCCTTACGTGTCTCAACCAAAACACAGTGAATGGGTGTCAACTTTTCAACATGGTTCAACATGGTTTAACATGGTTCAACTATGTTCAACTGATTTATCCATTTTATCAAATTTTATCACAACTATCACAACTATCACAACTTTGTGCTGTCAGCATCTCCAATTGGTTCGGACTCTACAGACTTGGGCGGCTTTGGTGAGGCCACCTGAGCTGCATCCTCGCGACATGGACCTTCGCTGTAGCGGCTCCGTGGACCACAGAGACACTTGGGCTCTGACGCAGTGCTTGGCGGTTTCAAACATTAGGATTTGGTCGGTTCCAGGCGGTTCCAGGCGGTTGCACCACCTATTGTTAGGGACTATCATTAATCATTATCCATTGTGGAAATCCCTTTAGCCATCACCAACCATGCCTCGAGACTACTTTTTGGCAGTTAGTCAAGTGCGATTCAGACCAGGTTCAGAGCAATGTTCGGCTCTTCTCCGTGTTGTTTTCTGGCTCGTTTCCAGATTCTGGCACAAATTCTTCAGTTGAAATTGCTTTGCCCGTGTTGTGTGATGTTATTTGAAGTCCAACTGGTGAGGGCCCCC